TGAAAAACTTTATTTAAGTTATTTTCCCATAATTATTATTGCAATTACTAAATGGTTAGATACTATTCTTACTTATATTTCTTGTTAATACCCTTGAGCAACTAAAATAATAATAAGTTTTACTTTGTTCCCAAAACCTAATCTACATTATATCACTTTGTTCCTTTTATTAGTTCTCTTATATTTAACAATTTTTACTCCCACATTCTTCACCAATTAATAAATTCATTATGTTTATGTTTTAGTTTATTGTCTTTAAATTTTGTTCGATAATTATTTAAATTAATCTTTGTAAAATATTATATCAAGTAATATATGCTATTCCAATAAGTATATTTTAAATTCTTTTTTTCTTATATTTAATTTTATTGATATTCAGTCTCGTAATATTATTTCTAAAATAATTTAGAACTGAAAATTTAGAATTAGAGGAACAAGAAAATTCTGGAATAATGGTATTTATAATTTATTACACATCTACAAAAATAAAATAAAAAATTAATAATGCATAATAATTTATTAATTTTGTATGATAATTTTACTACTTAAAAAAGATTAAATATTAGATTAAACCTTCTTAAAAACTAAAATATTTACAGGTATATTTTTCAAATAATCGATTCAAATGGGGCATCTATACTTTTACTGTAATTTCTTAAATAAATATTGCATTTCCAGTCATCTAAATTCTAAGCCTCTATTTCCAACAAAAACAATGCTCCATTTCTTGCATATACTGCAGGTTATAGACCATCAGTGTTTTTAATATTTTGATGTTTATATAAAAATTAGATTGCTTCTGTTATGAACCCAGCATGACTTATGGCTAATATATTAGTACAACCTGTAGATTTCTAAGAAGAACTGAATTATTAAGCTTAATGTATGTAAGATCGCATGATATGATGAGAATAATGAGGTTCAGCAACTTAAGAACTCAAAATCATTTTATTAAGTGAATCAAGTGGTAACTATTTGTGTTAAAAAATTAATTACATTTTAAAATGATTGTTAATATAGTTATTGTGTGATCAATTAATTAAAGAATGCTTAGGCTCTAATTTATATTTCTTCAGATGTTTCTGCATTATTTTCTCTGTCTACTATCGTTTAACTTTAAAGTGGGTACACTTCTGAATAGGATTTCAATAGATCATTTCCAGGATCTCTTTCTCTTAAAATAGGTGTATAGATCACATTAGAAGGCTTATGCTTAAGTTCATTTTCAATTAATTCATAAGATTCAATGCATCTAAATTTCTGAGATTTATTACCTTTTAAAATCACTTGAATAGACATAATCAAATCTAATTGATGATAACTTTCTGCCTATGTTTTTGGATTGTACTTTTCCCAAACCGCTCAATCCATACTCATTCATTCCTGAAACAATTTTTAAACTCTGATATAATGATTGACCATGTCTTATCAAAAATATTCGAATCATAAATAGGTATTTATTTTAATATTTATTTATACGGTAAATATTATTCATTACTTCTTTGGTGGAGGAGGTGGTCCTCTTCTTTGTGGAGCTGGAGGAGGAGGGACACCCTTTCCTTATTAAGTTGGTTGCTTAATCTCTTAAACAGCATTTTGTTGAGTTCTTTAATTGAATAGTTATTATTAATTATTTTATTATTATTACTCTTATTGCCACTATTGTTATTAATTAACTTGTTGCTGATGTTATTATTATTAAAATGGCTACTAAGGTAAAGTTTATTATATATTTGGTTATGGTTAAGGAGGAGGAGGAGGGGGTGCTACGTGATGTTTTGGAGGAGGTTAAGGAGGTGGAACAACTTATGGCTATTATTATTCTTATCTAAAAGGTTCTTGAACAAAAGGTGGAGGTTATATATTTTATGCTTCTTATTTCTTAGGCTAATTTGGTGGAGGAGCAGTTTTCACTGGTGGAGTAGGTTTTTGTACTTGTCGTCTATTTGGAGGTGGAACTCTAAATAATAAATTTTAATTTTACGGATCTTCTGCAACTTTTGCAACATTGGGGCCAAAAGGATTATTTATTGCTGAGGCATTTTGATTAGGATTTTATTAAGTCTACTATCTTACATTATGATCTTCTTAGTGTTAGTTAACAGCAGGTCTTGTGGGTCTGGATACAGGTTAATTAGGAGCATGAACAGGTTAGGCTTATGTTTATTTAACTATGCCCATTTTAATTTATTCATATTTAAATGGGAAAGTTGGTTTGTCCATAATTTTCTGTATTATACTTCTGTCTTTATGATTTCCTTTGTAAATTAAATCTAATAATTCTAAAGCTCTTTGACAATCAGGAGAAGAAAAATTGAGAGCATAAGCAGCTGATAAATATTAGTTATGCTATATTGCAGAATTAGCAAATTTTAGTAGCAAGCTATCAAAAATATGGTCAAATATTTCACTTTCCTAGAGTGAATATTCCTGAATAACAATTAAGAGTTTAATGGCCTCAGTTAACTCTTTTAATGAATTATTATGATTAGTTAAAATCTTAATGCATTTTTCACCATTCATTGCAAGGATGTAACATTAAAGAGCATTGAATTCATCTTTTCTTTCAGCAATAAATCTATCTCCTAATTATTCCATAATTTTATGGAATTATCCTGTATTATCACTATTTAACACCATAGCAGCACATTCTTTCCAAGTGTTTAATTCAAAATTTTTGGCTATTTCATCTGGGTGTTTTAGAACAATATGTTTTAACACATTTTTTAAGAAGTAGTCTGTTTATGTTGTTAGAAAAGTATTCATTGTTTATTCAAATATTTCTTTGCTTTGAGAATAAGCTAATAATAGAGCCTCTGCAGATCTACCACATTTCAAAGCACAATCAATAGCGCCTTCATAATTACCAACTATTAGGTTGTCTTTAATTATTTTCTCAACTCCAACATTCCAATTAGTATTTTTTGATACTTATTCAGATTAAAAGATTTCAACATCTTAATTCCTGCTATTATTGGTTTATTATTATTTGTTGAGTGATTAATTAGTTAAATCATTGAAAAATGAATCTGCATCTTAATCAGTAATTGTGGCAAAATCAATTGCAGGTCTTTAAGGAGCCGAATTTTTCTTTTTACTTTGATCATCCTTCTTAGCATGTCTTTTTCCAGTATAATTTTCTGTTTATTGTGTAATTTCCTTTACAGAAAATCCCAATGTAGCTAAATATTCTTTTTTATCTTCTTTTTAAACTGAATTTATTAATTTCCAATATTATGTATATTATTGATCATGTTATTTTTCGATTTCTAATTGAATTCTATTTTAGTCTGAATCTACAGAACAAAATGCATTAAAACTTTCAAAAATATTATCTGGATCAGTTTTAGCAATCTAATAGGTTTAGATTGCAGAATTATTTTCTTTAAAACATGCCAATTAATCAAATGCAAATGCTGATCCTACAGGAGGCTTTAACCATTTTGGTGCATAACCTTCCTTACCACTTGGTAAGCTTCTAATACTTGTTTAACCATCTGCACTTGAAATTGAATAAACTGATGTAACCCTTTTACTCCATTTTAAATCTGCTATTTCAAAGTCCAATTGTTCTTAACTTACAACTGATTAAGTCTTGTAATTCCAACACACTACTTATCCATCTCTACCTCCTGTCAATATTAAGGAATGATCATTTGGACACCAGGAGAGACTGTTTATTCCAGATCTATGAACTTAACTAAAAACAATTGTTGGTCCTTAAGGATTTCTTAAATCCCAAATTTATAATTCTGGTGCTCTTTCATCATCATATGCAACAGCTATTTATGTTGGAATTTCTGGATTCCACAATAAACTTACTTTTTTATTGCTAATAGCACTGCTATCCTAAAAACTAAATATTGGCTTATTATTTCTCAAATCCCAAACACCAGTCAAACCATTCTAAGATGCTGATGCTAATATGTGCAATATTTTCTTATTCCAAGAAACAGCTGTAATTGAACTATCTTCATGAAGATTAGGATTTCCAGGTCCAAAAACTTATGGATTTTAAATATCTTTGATGATATCAGCAATCTAAAATATTTTAATATATTACTAACACATCTTAACCTCCTAAAGCTATTAAATTTGGTTTAAACTCATTAAATTCTATAGCAGTCACAGGTCCCTCATACAATTAATCAATCATAGCAACACAGCTTTCTTCCTCTTAATTAATTGCTGAATTTGCATCATAAAGTGCCACGTAACCTTCTGTTGTTCCTGCAGCTACTAAACCCATAGGATAAGTTTCCGGAGCAAAATTTTCCCAAGCCAAACACGAAATTGCATCTTTACTTGAAACTGTGCCAATGATAGATGTTGACGTGTTCTTCTATCCGAGGTTAAATGAATTAAATTATAATTAAGAGCTTAAGTTATTGATAATTAAAAATACCCCCATTAATCATTTACTGCTGAAACTAACAGATTTGATTATGACTTTAGATTAGACCATGCAGACATGTTTCCTTAAGTTGTCTTTAATAACATTTTTAATAATTTATTTATTAATATTTTTTTTTAATTAATACCTAAATTAAATTGTTTAAACAAAAAATCAATTAAAAAATATTAATATTTCAAAGGATATTTACTCATTTACTATTCAACACTTATTATAAAATGATTCCAGCTGATACACTAACATTTAATGAATCAACTAATGTTTCTGGAAAAGTATGTCGACTAGTCATTATATTTACTATGGTATCACATTATTTGAATAATTCTGTTCTTATCCCAGAACTTTCAGATCCAAAAATGATGATTTTTTTTGGTTTTTTTTAATCCTTCTAAAACTCATCAATTGGAATCTTACAAATTATTCTATATATATACACTATTGCTTTCAAATCCACTTCCTATTACTTAAAATTCATGTTTTCTTTGTTTCACAAAATTAGCCAAATTATCAGTTTCAAAAATATTCATTAATTCAAGAGCACCTGCACTTGTTTTGCTTACTGTTGGAGATAATGGGCATTAACCTTTTTTCTCGACAATAACAGTATTAATTCCTAAAAAAAAACAAACTCTTAAGATTGCTCCAAAATTTTAAGGATCTTAAACTGAATCCAATAGAACAAAATTAGATTCATCAGGTAATTGATTACAGTAATTTAATTTTGAACATTTCAAAATAACATTTTAATGGTGGTCATTGCTGCAATATCTTTCTAATTTATTCTAAACATATTAGTTTGTATTAAATACTTTGGGAATCATTTAAACATCTAGTTTTAAAGATTAAGCTCTATTAAGAATATTTGAGATTCTTGGGTTGATATAATCATCTCTAATTATATGATAGTATAATACTTTATTATGTTTAATTTACATAAAGTTAAGTAAATGATCTTTTGTTAGCATATAATGCAGACATAACTGGGTTTATGCCATATAAATAATCGTATGATTTCTAAGACGAAAATCTTGATCCAAACTTCAAAATATACATATAATAATTTAAAATTTATTTATGCCTTTGTATGAATTAATAGCAATTTGCAGATGCTCCTAGGCATAAGGTACAGCTGCTGCCATTAGATAATTGTCAGTCTTGATTTTCTAAGGAGGTATTATCATACAATGAAAAACAATAGGAGGAAATATTAGAAACGTGAGAATTTTAGGAGATAGAATCATGAGTAAACAAATTATAGGAAATGATGGATTTAGACATTTAATAGGGAGATATGTTTCAATTTTATATGATGGTCATCCTAGCAAGTTTAGAAATGTGTTAAAAGGAGGAGAAAAGTCGTTTGAAATATTTAGATTACAGCATTTTCGAATTAAGGACTTCATTCCAGAGGCTGTAGGATTTACAAAGCCATTTGAAGATGAAGCACCTTTTGTGAAAAACAACAGCGTTCAATCTTATGAATATGGAAGAGCATTGCAAATATTAAGAGAAGAAAAGTAAAAATTATCCTGAGTATTATAAAAATATTTCATTAAAGTATTAAATGCTATTCTTATTGTTACTACCATTACTTTCTTACGGATTGAATACAAAAGTCAAATGCATCATAGATCCACTGACTAAGGCTTGCGATCATTTAACTATTTATTTCAATCCTACATATCCTATTCGAATAAATTCAATCATCTAATTAACATTACCTTTCATCATTCAAGGACAAGAATAACTACTTCTTACTTCGTTTGACGGTATAAATTAATAACGATTTAGAGTCAACTGTTGCCCTATTAACATTAACAGGAAGTACACATTTTACAGTGACTTAAATATTACCTGAAAATACTTGGTATAAATGCAATTTAACATTGTCTACAGTATTATCTAAGAAATAACAAGGCATTGGATAATTTTAAATGAATATTGTAGCCTCAGAATACTCAAATACGTTAATTTTAGAATAAGGTCCTTAAATTCCTCTTACATACTCAGTCTTTAATTAAATTTATAATCCACCATCAATAACTCCAATAGCAACAGTAATTCCATCTTCATCTGGAACATTATGTGTAACTTCTGATTGGGGATTTACATTAAATAAAAATATTGTTAGATAACAATAATCTATGACTTTCACGCTCAGCTATGATGCTACTAACGATAGAATTGATGTAATACTTACTCTGGTTGATTTAAATAGTGGATTTATATTTCATAGAGAATGCTATTTTTCAGGACCAGAAGTAGCCAAATTTACTACTGAATGTACCCTAAAATAAACAGGATCTAAACTTACATTTTAATTAAGAAGTTAAAACTCAGTACTTTTAAAATAGTAAACTGAATATCTACTTGAATTTTATGTATCTCATTAAGGAGACACAATTACAGCAAGCACCTTTACAACGGAAATCTATCATGATACCCAGTTGATTGATTAATGTTAATCTACAAAAACATTTTTAATTGATGAAAAAGATATGCCTGCTTCATTATTTCAAATAACTGAGGTAGAACTATATTTAGATACACCTAGTATTGGTGTACCAACATTTATGGGTGTGGCATTTAGACCCAAAAATATATAAATAGATACACTTATTAGAATTGAATTAGGATTCTTAAGTTATGATTAATTAAATTGTTAAGTCTTTTAACTTGAAATAGATACATTAATGCCTTCATTATCATTTTCACATTATTCATATGACTCTTAAAATCTTTATTTTTATTCAAACAAATACAAACCTGATCAAATTTAATATAAATATAGTGTCAATTGCACTGGAATAACAATCTTATAGACTACTAATAAAATATTTAGAGTTGTATATGAAGATTTATATCATACAATAATTTAATATTTTCAAACCAGTTAACCACCAAGGTTACCTACTGATGCTTAGACTTAATAGGCTTCATTATAGATTGTGAAAAATATAGAATTGATATCCAAGAAATTTAATAATCCTTTAGTTAGTAGTATTATATAGATCAAAATTGTTCCTATTTATGGAATTTATCGAGTATTAATAGAATTTCCATATTCTTATACTACAAATATAATTAAATGTGTAATAAATGAAACATCTTCTGTATTTTGTGATTAAGATTCTCTTAATCCAAAAAGATTGATAATTTATTTAACAAAATATCATGATAGTGAATTAATTAAAGATCCATTTAATCTCACTATTTATGGGATGATTAACCCATACGAATTAAAATACAATAGTCGAATATGTGTAATTTTGGATGATGATAATATATTAACACCGTTACTGTTTGGAAATGAAGATAATTTAAATGGGATAACATAATTTGAATATCTTGATGACTATGTCAATACCAATATTTACAAGCAATTATCAACTAGTGATTTTAGATTTTCGCAATCTTAAGCTAGGGCTTATGATTAATATTTAATTGGTAATATNTTAATTTTAGAATAAGGTCCTTAAATTCCTCTTACATACTCAGTCATTAATTAAATTTATAATCCACCATCAATAACTCCAATAGCAACAGTAATTCCATCTTCATCTGGAACATTATGTGTAACTTCTGATTGGGGATTTACATTAAATAAAAATATTGTTAGATAACAATAATCTATGACTTTCACGCTCAGCTATGATGCTACTAACGATAGAATTGATGTAATACTTACTCTGGTTGATTTAAATAGTGGATTTATATTTCATAGAGAATGCTATTTTTCAGGACCAGAAGTAGCCAAATTTACTACTGAATGTACCCTAAAATAAACAGGATCTAAACTTACATTTTAATTAAGAAGTTAAAACTCAGTACTTTTAAAATAGTAAACTGAATATCTACTTGAATTTTATGTATCTCATTAAGGAGATACAATTACAGCAAGCACCTTTACAACGGAAATCTATCATGATACCCAGTTGATTGATTAATGTTAATCTACAAAAACATTTTTAATTGATGAAACAGATATGCCTGCTTCATTATTTCAAATAACTGAGGTAGAACTATATTTAGATACACCTAGTATTGGTGTACCAACATTTATGGGTGTGGCATTTAGACCCAAAAATATATAAATAGATACACTTATTAGAATTGAATTAGGATTCTTAAGTTATGATTAATTAAATTGTTAAGTATTTTAACTTGAAATAGATACATTAATGCCTTCATTATCATTTTCACATTATTCATATGACTCTTAAAATCTTTATTTTTATTCAAACAAATACAAACCTGATCAAATTTAATATAAATATAGTGTCAATTGCACTGGAATAACAATCTTATAGACTACTAATAAAATATTTAGAGTTGTATATGAAGATTTATATCATACAATAATTTAATATTTTCAAACCAGTTAACCACCAAGGTTACCTACTGATGCTTAGACTTAATAGGCTTCATTATAGATTGTGAAAAATATAGAATTGATATCCAAGAAATTTAATAATCCTTTAGTTAGTAGTATTATATAGATCAAAATTGTTCCTATTTATGGAATTTATCGAGTATTAATAGAATTTCCATATTCTTATACTACAACTGTAATTAAATGTGTAATAAATGAAACATCTTCTGTATTTTGTGATTAAGATTCTCTTAATCCAAAAAGGTTGATAATTTATTTAACAAAATATCATGATAGTGAATTAATTAAAGATCCATTTAATCTCACTATTTATGGGATGATTAACCCATACGAATTAAAATACAATAGTCGAATATGTGTAATTTTGGATGATGATAATATATTAACACCGTTACTGTTTGGGAATGAAGATAATTTAAATGGGATATCATAATTTGAATATCTTGATGACTATGTCAATACCAATATTTACAAGCAATTATCAACTAGTGATTTTAGATTTTCGCAATCTTAAGCTAGGGCTTATGATTAATATTTAATTGGTAATATTACTTTTTCTATGGGAAGTATTAACGAAATAAATAAATTATATTTGCGAATATCAGATTAATATACAATATATGATTTAAATTGTTAACTTATAAAATTAGGTGATCAGCAATTGAATAATTATATTAGTGCATGCAAATAAAATTAAAATTATATTGAGATGGATCTGATTACAGATACAGGCAATATTAGATTTAGTCAACAATATTATTTAAATATATCAAATTTCAGAACCTAAGATTTAATATCAATAGAATAATATGCGGTTTTGTAACCTATGATTTAACTCTTCTTAGCATAAGATGATAATATAATTTCACTAGAAAATTAAGTTAATGGATAATTTGTAATGAAAAATTAAAAAATACCATTTTACTGGTACAATCGAGATGCAGATGATTAATTTACTCGATTAGAAGTGCAACCAGGATTTGAGGATACAAAGGCTTATAAAATATATCTGAATCATTTTGGACTTGAAAGATTGTATTTAGGTCTAGGAGATGTTTCAGATAGATTCAATTGTACAATCAACTTATAATTACCAACAATCCATGAAGATATTATCGTCTTTGGTTAGAGCAGTAAATATGCTAAACAATCTTTTAGTAGTTAGGCTATTACACAACCTAAATACATTGTCAAATCAATGACTGATGATACTTTCTATGAAACAATTAAGGATACTGAATTAATAATTAATCCTGGAGATAGTGGATTCATATTCAATATTGCCTCAAAATCATTAATTAATATCAAAATTAGAGTTCAAATAAATTATACTATTTCATTTCCTGATCGTAATTCATGGAATCCCATTTATTATTATAATCCATTTACTGAAATTCCTGTCTTATACTTAGAAATTATTAATAAAGGTTGTGAACTAATTCCTCAAAAGTCTACATACGATTTACCAGTAAATGGTTATACGCATCCTATAATAATCGATGCATCCGAATGCATACCTATTGTTGATACCAAACTGAATGTTACTATTCAAGATAACAATAAATTATAATTAGTTCCTATTTAAATGAGTATTTCAAGATATAGATTTGAACTTATTAAAAGAACAACTCGAAAGGCTCCTGAATATAGCTATATTTTTTAAATCAAAGCCACCAATGAAACTATTGCAGGAATTATTACTTAAATATTAGTTAATAACATACCAATCTCTATATCTGCAATATTATAGTATACAGAATAACCCAAAGCAACTCCATTGAAGGGATTATACAGTTAAAGCTCAAACACTATTTCTTTATCTATGGCATGTTCTTAACCTTCTGAAATTTTACTTGTAATTGGAATTGATGAAATTACAGACGAATCATTCGAAAAATTAAAATCTAATTCAATTTCTAACGAACTCACAGGAGATTATGATTTATTTAAATTATAACCTGAAAATTCAACCTTACAATAGGAGAGCAGTTACCTTCTCAAATACGAGATACAACCTTCAAATTTAATCATGGATATTTATAATAATAGGATTGGAAATCAAATTACTTATAACGATTATGACATTGTAAGCTAAGTAAATTAGTCTCTAATCAAAGACAATTCTTATAAAACATTGATGAATTCTATAAGGAGAATGATGATTAATAGGTTAAGTTTGCTTGACAAAACAAGTCAACTTCATCTACAACGAATCTAATCTAAATTAAATTATTTTGACACTGCAGTTACATTCACTCTCTCCAATATGAAATATAATACAAAATATTCTTTTGGGTATTACTGTAAAAATTTAAATGGAAATACATCAGAAATTTCAACAAACTTTCAATATATAGCTAATGAAACTTCAATGAATAATAAAACAGTGAGTAAAATGTTATCATTAAAATTTAAGTAAAAAATATCCTCTTAGTAAGAAAATACTATTCTTTGTGCCTTAGCATAATATTTATCAATTAACTATTATTAAGTGCTATCTAGAGAATGCAAATAATGTAGATTTTCAAATATTCATTATGATAAAATAAATTACACATAATATTTACAATTAATTCAAGATTTTGTTCCATTTGAAAATAGATCTGCGACAGAAAAATAAAAATATTTAGATAATTTGTATACAATGAAAATTTATTTTAATAACTATCCTTCCTCAAATGGTTAAAACTTTGATATTACATAAAAGATTGACAAATCAATGAATTTAACAAATGAAACAATGTTAAGTATTATTAATGTCACAGATGATTTCTCACTTACCTTTAATTATGAAAGCTTTTTGTATTAAGAATTGAAACCAACAAAAAGATCTAATGTTGAATTAGCAACATAATTAGTTCTACTAAATTATGAATTCAAAACTATTAGTTTGGATATTACAATAAAGGCTAATCAAGATGTTCTTGGAATTGTAGGATTGCATGTATAAATGTAATTCATATTTTTAGAAAATTGAACCAATTTTTGAAAATGTAATTAAACATCCTACTGGCATCATGCTTAGAAGAGGCATTTTAAGTACTTTCAGCAATATATCCGAAGGAGTCTAATTTNTATATTTTTTAAATCAAAGCCACCAATGAAACTATTGCAGGAATTATTACTTAAATATTAGTTAATAACATACCAATCTCTATATCTGCAATATTATAGTATACAGAATAACCCAAAGCAACTCCATTGAAGGGGTTATACAGTTAAAGCTCAAACACTATTTCTTTATCTATGGCATGTTCTTAACCTTCTGAAATTTTACTTGTAATTGGAATTGATGAAATTACAGACGAATCATTCGAAAAATTAAAATCTAATTCAATTTCTAACGAACTCACAGGAGATTATGATTTATTTAAATTATAACCTGAAAATTCAACCTTACAATAGGAGAGCAGTTACCTTCTCAAATACGAGATACAACCTTCAAATTTAATCATGGATATTTATAATAATAGGATTGGAAATCAAATTACTTATAACGATTATGACATTGTTAGCTAAGTAAATTAGTCTCTAATCAAAGACAATTCTTATAAAACATTGATGAATTCTATAAGGAGAATGATGATTAATAGATTAAGTTTGCTCGACAAAACAAGTCAACTTCATCTACAACGAATCTAATCTAAATTAAATTATTTTGACACTGCAGTTACATTCACTCTCTCCAATATGAAATATAATACAAAATATTCTTTTGGGTATTACTGTAAAAATTTAAATGGAAATACATCAGAAATTTCAACAAACTTTCAATATATAGCTAATGAAACTTCAATGAATAATAAAACAGTGAGTAAAATGTTATCATTAAAATTTAAGTAAAAAATATCCTCTTAGTAAGAAAATACTATTCTTTGTGCCTTAGCATAATATTTATCAATTAACTATTATTAAGTGCTATCTAGAGAATGCAAATAATGTAGATTTTCAAATATTCATTATGATAAAATAAATTACACATAATATTTACAATTAATTCAAGATTTTGTTCCATTTGAAAATAGATCTGCGACAGAAAAATAAAAATATTTAGATAATTTGTATACAATGAAAATTTATTTTAATAACTATCCTTCCTCAAATGGTTAAAACTTTGATATTACATAAAAGATTGACAAATCAATGAATTTAACAAATGAAACAATGTTAAGTATTATTAATGTCACAGATGATTTCTCACTTACCTTTAATTATGAAAGCTTTTTGTATTAAGAATTGAAACCAACAAAAAGATCTAATGTTGAATTAGCAACATAATTAGTTCTACTAAATTATGAATTCAAAACTATTAGTTTGGATATTACAATAAAGGCTAATCAAGATGTTCTTGGAATTGTAGGATTGCATGTATAAATGTAATTCATATTTTTAGAAAATTGAACCAATTTTTGAAAATGTAATTAAACATCCTACTGGCATCATGCTTAGAAGAGGCATTTTAAGTACTTTCAGCAATATATCCGAAGGAGTCTAATTTGCAGAATTAGCAAAAAATGAAAATACAACTTTGACATTTAAGGATTTGATAGACGGCGAAAAGTATGATTGTATAATTAAGTAGGTATTTAATTTATTACTCATCCACTGATTTGATAAATGACTGTTTAACAAAATAATATTAAGAAACAGTTGTCCAATAAATAACTTTTGTTAGTTAATAACAAAGTCAGGAATCCATTTTGCATATAAATATCGCTTTAATACTACTTGTTATTTTCTGCATAAAATGATCATTTAGTATATATAATTCAATATTATATATTAATTTTATTCTTTTGCTATTAATTGAACTCATTTTCTTTCTTAACTTAATTTATTATCTAATTTTTCTGTCTTATTTTTTCTTTCTTTTGTAATCTCAATAAAATGACTTCTTCCAATATTAATTTATTTTTCCTTAAAGTCACATCATCGAATCCGTATTTCTTAAGCTTATATTAATTTATTACTTTTTTAAATGTTTATTTTTCTTCATTCAATTATTCTGCAAATTCCAATGTTGGAATAAAAAACGGAGCACTAGCATCGTAATCTTGATTGTTTGCACTTCCTGGAACTTATGTTTAAATGCTAAGTTAATATTGAAATAACACTTTTAAGAAATATATTAGCACATGGTTTACTCAACAATTGGATGGTTTTTTTCGTTTTTTACAATTTTGAATTTAGTCTTATGCATACGAGTTTTCTTTTTAGGAGGCTCTTTTGAAATAGATCGTAAATTATCTAATAAATCTGTATTTTATTAAGCTTTCAGTTATTTATTATTTGCTAATCTCTTTCTTAAATTATTAAAGATCATTTACAATATATCTTCTTAGTAATTTACATTCCATTCCTTAAAAATTTAATTATCGTTCTTTTATTTCGATTGCTCTTATTTTTCATCAAATTGCTTCATTGATTTTGATGGAAGATCAGGTAATTCTGGTAATTATTATCGATATTGAATTTTTGGTAAAGAATAAGCCTGGTATGCTTGATTTACATCAAAAATTAATTGAGCCTTTTATGGGACAATAAACTATAATTGTGAAGCAACCTTTGTCTAAACCTATTAATTCATAAAAATAATATTAGTAATAAATTTTATATTCTAATATAACATTCATCTACTTTATTCATTTGAATAATTTAGTATTTTTGTATGCTGATTAAGTAAAATACATAAAGAATAATATAACTACATATTATTCTAATGCAATTTTAATAAATTTGTACTCAAACTCTAGATTTTACATCATGAAAAGAATCCACAAAGCTTATCCATAAAATTCACAATAAAATCTGAAATACTTTTCAACAAATTATTTGCTAAATAGATGCATAAAAGGCAAAGAACCTAAAAAACAATAGATAGAGTAATAGAGTACATTTCAAATATATTATTATAAAGTAAACTAATTAAAAGTGTTACTTGAAGTCTAATTGCTATGTTGTAATACACAAAAATTCTATGAATAATTTATCAATCCATTACCCTAAGATAATACTAAATATTTGAAGAAAGCATCCAATATAGTTTAATTTAAAAATGTTTATTCTTTTGGTAGTTTTTTAGCTTAGAGAATATGTCATTTCATGTTTGTGTGGGACTTGCATATTTTTATTATAATTCTAATTGTAAAATGTTAAATGATTTATATTAAATCAATCTAATAGCTTTGATTTTACATCTGAATCAATTTTAGATCGGATTATATGTAAAAATAGATAGATTAGACCAAGAGTGAAGAGTATCCAACTGAAAAAATCACTTGATCTAGCCCAAAGATTAACACATTAAGTGCCCAAGCTAAAAAAATATACACAATATATATTACAAAATATTGTATATTCCTCTTCCCAAATAAGATCTCAAAAATCTAAAATAGATATTCACTTCTAGTTTGTAATACTCAGCCAATATTAGTAATACTCCAAAAAACCTATATGTTCATTATGAATTTTTATACACATAAAATAATGGAAGAAACATTGTATAAAATGACATCAAAAAGTTTGAGGAATTCCATATTTTCAAAGTGAATAAAAAGTATAACCCCACAATTGCAACATAAGTTCTTCATTATTACTATATTTTACCCAGCACCAATATTAAGATATCTTGTGTACAATAAAAATTAATCAATGTATTAGCCACTATCATGTTAATCTTCACCCATTATCAATGGCTGATTCAGGTCATCTGTTTAAGCATATTATGGGGGTTGTTCCAACTAAGGTTATTCGTTTAGGTTTTCAGGTTCAAATTTAGGATATGGATTTTCATTTGGCTATGAACTAGAGTTAGTATTATAATTATCTTCCATTAATTTAATTATTAATGCCTCCAAAGAAACAGCATCATAAAACTTAGTCTTCTGACATCTCTGCCTAAGCAATAATCAATTTTCTCTCAAATAGAGATTCATAGAATGGTAGGTAATCTCCAACCAAATAACTTGATTTGTTAAAAATGAAGACCTAAACCCATTAAAGTCCATAACCAGTTAAAGTAACTTAGTAATAATAAACTTTGCTTTAAAACATGATGAGACAAAGCTAAAGGAAATTGCAATAACCTGAAACAACAAAATCAAGAATTGGCCTTATGTCTCCAAAGGTTTTGAGTCAAATCCATATGAAAACATAGCCGCATTCTCACTAGAACTCATAAGTTAACTTAAAAGAGTCTATGCAATAATTAATGTCAATTCCACATTCAGCTACAAGTAAAGTGGTTAGCAAAGAAAAAAAACTTATAGAAGAATTGCTAGCTAAAACTAAGAATTCTAAATAGCAATAATTCTTTCCAAAGAGCCCATCTATTGAATAAAAATTTTAAACACATTCTGGATCATAACCGCTCATTTTTTTAGAGAAGTTTAAACCAACTACTGCTAGGTATAAATTTATTTTATTATTAACAGAAAATAGGAAATGATGACAATTGTGCTTTAATATAAAAACTTCCGTTAAAAATATGCAATAGACATATCTATGAATAAAATTTAATGGTTAATTGATTTTGTTAAGCAAGAACTTGGAATACCTATTTAAGGGATTAGAACTACTGGAATTTCTATACCTGTAGATTTTATTCTATCTAAACCTGATAAACCTTTAAGTTTGTTATCAGGATTTCCAATTTAACCTTTATAAATAGAACCAATTATTCTGAATCCTAATGAACCAAAAGCAGCTAGAGTCACTCTTAAAGATTTTGAATTTATAAGGTGCATTGGAATGGGTGGGTTTTCGAAAGTATATATGGTTAGAGAAATACACACAGGATAATTTTATGCGATGAAATTGATAGAAAAAAAGCCTATTTTATAATAAAATAAATAATAAATTATTCAACAAGAAAGGGATATAATGTCAAATTTGGATCATCCATTTATTGTTGGTTTATAATATGCATTTGAATCACGAAAATATTTAGTTTTTGTATTAGAATATTGTTTTGGAGGAGAATTATTTTATTTATTAAGAAAGGTAAAGATAAATCAACATAACTATAGGTAAAAAGAATGAACGAATAAGAAGCATTTTTTTACTTTGCTGAGATTTGTCTTGGAATGAAAAACCTCCATGATAATAATATAATTTATAGAGATATCAAACCAGAAAATATTCTAATCGATTTTGATGGACATGTTCGTATTGCTGATTTTGGATTATCAAAACCAGGCATGGTTGATCAAGAAGTGGCTTACTCTTTTTGTGGTAGTCCAGAATACATGGCACCTGAAATGCTCTTAAAATCAGGCCACACTATTTAGTTAGATTTATACTGTCTAGGAGCACTTCTGTATGAATTAGTTACAGGATTACCTCCATTCTATTCTAGAAACACAGATGAAATATACTAAAGAATATTGAATGCTAAACTTACTTTTCCATAAAATTTATCTGCATCCATTAAAGATCTTTTGAATGGTTTGTTGGCAAAGAATCCCAAAAAAAGAATCGAAAGCATTGATACTATACTAAGGCATCCATGGATGATTCAATGGGGAGATAAAAACCTTTACAAAGACTTATTGTCAAAAAAGATAGAGCCCCCCTTCAAACCAGATTGTTTTGCTTTTAATTTTGATGAAGAGGAGTTTGGGAAAGGTGAAGCAGAATTTCTTTAATATATTAAACCACTTTAATAAAATGTAATGGAGAACTATCCTAAGGATATAATCTTGAAAAATTTTTATTATAATTGTATGTAAGAAAGCACTGGTGGAACCATGCAAAGGTGATATAATTTACAATCCTTGATATAGCAATATTTNTAGAGAAGTTTAAACCAACTACTGCTAGGTATAAATTTATTTTATTATTAACAGAAAATAGGAAATGATGACAATTGTGCTTTAATATAAAAACTTCCGTTAAAAATATGCAATAGACATATCTATGAATAAAATTTAATGGTTAATTGATTTTGTTAAGCAAGAACTTGGAATACCTATTTAAGGGATTAGAACTACTGGAATTTCTATACCTGTAGATTTTATTCTATCTAAACCTGATAAACCTTTAAGTTTGTTATCAGGATTTCCAATTTAACCTTTATAAATAGAACCAATTATTCTGAATCCTAATGAACCAAAAGCAGCTAGAGTCACTCTTAAAGATTTTGAATTTATAAGGTGCATTGGAATGGGTGGGTTTTCGAAAGTATATATGGTTAGAGAAATACACACAGGATAATTTTATGCGATGAAATTGATAGAAAAAAAGCCTATTTTATAATAAAATAAATAATAAATTATTCAACAAGAAAGGGATATAATGTCAAATTTGGATCATCCATTTATTGTTGGTTTATAATATGCATTTGAATCACGAAAATATTTAGTTTTTGTATTAGAATATTGTTTTGGAGGAGAATTATTTTATTTATTAAGAAAGGTAAAGATAAATCAACATAACTATAGGTAAAAAGAATGAACGAATAAGAAGCATTTTTTTACTTTGCTGAGATTTGTCTTGGAATGAAAAACCTCCATGATAATAATATAATTTATAGAGATATCAAACCAGAAAATATTCTAATCGATTTTGATGGACATGTTCGTATTGCTGATTTTGGATTATCAAAACCAGGCATGGTTGATCAAGAAGTGGCTTACTCTTTTTGTGGTAGTCCAGAATACATGGCACCTGAAATGCTCTTAAAATCAGGCCACACTATTTAGTTAGATTTATACTGTCTAGGAGCACTTCTGTATGAATTAGTTACAGGATTACCTCCATTCTATTCTAGAAACACAGATGAAATATACTAAAGAATATTGAATGCTAAACTTACTTTTCCATAAAATTTATCTGCATCCATTAAAGATCTTTTGAATGGTTTGTTGGCAAAGAATCCCAAAAAAAGAATCGAAAGCATTGATACTATACTAAGGCATCCATGGATGATTCAATGGGGAGATAAAAACCTTTACAAAGACTTATTGTCAAAAAAGATAGAGCCCCCCTTCAAACCAGATTGTTTTGCCTTTAATTTTGATGAAGAGGAGTTTGGGAAAGGTGAAGCAGAATTTCTTTAATATATTAAACCACTTTAATAAAATGTAATGGAGAACTATCCTAAGGATATAATCTTGAAAAATTTTTATTATAATTGTATGTAAGAAAGCACTGGTGGAACCATGCAAAGGTGATATAATTTACAAGCCTTGATATAGCAATATTTATATATTAATTTTTTAAATTCAATCTCTTTTGCATTTAAGCATGAAGGTAATTTATCTTCCATTACAATTCTAAATTTACTTTAATCATTATAATTATATTATCCATGTGAATTATAATTATTATTTTTTGTTATATTATCATCTATCATGCTTTCTTAATGGATTGAGAGTATTTGTTTGGTTAAATTTGACATTGAAATTGGTCAAATTGTTGAATGGACTTAACCATTATCATCAATAACAGAATAAGAAGAAAAAAATATAAGTATGTTGGCATTCCCAGATTCTAATGCCTTTTCTTAAAATGAAGGTATTATATGTAATTTTCAATTAGGTCATCTTAAGTATGTGTTTAGAGTTAGAAGGTCAGGCGGAAAAAATAGATTTTCATTAGGATTTGCATTGTTCATGTAAAGAAAAGATGAAGATAATCCAAGAGGTTATACATAAAAATCAATTGTAATTTTAACAAATTTGCCTCTTGTTACATTCTATTATAATTTATTAGAAATGATATATTCAAATATCAAGCAAGGATGTCTAAAAGCATAATTACAAGTAAAAATTTATTTTTATATTTTAAGTATGCTTATGAATAAATAAGTAATTGGGAAAAACCATAGCCCAATAAATTATTTAATCTCTAAATATTTAATAATAAAATAGCAGTGGAAGTTCCACATTATTTAAAGATGTAAAAAGTTGATTCTTAAATGAACGTTGAATTATAAGAGGTGTTAGAAGAGTTAACTCTCACAAATATGATTCAATTTGATGACTTAAGAGACATTGGATAATTTTAGGAAGCCAATATTTTTGCAGCATTACCGTAATTAAATAATCAAAAACTAAAAGACATGCTATGTTAGTTCATTTACCAAAGCTATGGGAACTTATTGTCACGAATCAATAATTTATGGTTATAGCAGATTCACCTTATCAATGCAGTGAAATTATACTTGGAATGATTAGCTTAATTTCACCTATGAAGTATAGTGGGGATTACAGACCATATTTCACTATTTATGATAAGGAATTTCAATAAATAAATTAAGAACTTGAAAATTCAATTGTTCGAAATATCATTATAGGAGTAACTAATCCTTTTTTCCTGAAAGTAAAATATGATAAATTAAATTATAGGCATTAAAAAAATTTCCAATTATTATTAGATGTGATTCATAAGCCTCATAGATAAGATTAATAACATAAGGCAATAAAGAATTTTGTTTGCTTGATGACAAACAAACTTTGAAAATGATGATCCCAATAAAAAATGAAGAAACAAAAACAATAAATAATTCATTAATAAAAAAGATTTATCGAAATATGTCTTTAGAATTCATTGGGCTTTTTGAAATGTATTTTGCATCCTAATAAAATGTATCCATTAATATTATGACTAGTAAGTAAAAAAATTCGACGAAAAGGAGTTTTTAGAATTTACCAAAAATTGCAAAGTCTCATTTTAGGATTTGTTTGAAAATAAGCAAAAATTTGTGAAGCTGTATCAAACATTTATTAGAAGTTCCAATTTTTTAACATATTTGAATGATCGCAAAAATGTGTATATAGCGAAAAGCATTATTTGATAGTAATACTAATATTTAAATTTGAAATTATTATGAGTTAATAAAGCTGTTTCTTCAACGAAATCACGTCCATTGAAAAGATTTAGGAAGAATCCATTTATTAGCAAAGGTATATTTATATGATTACCTCAGCCAATCTAATACCCAATATTATGTAAATCAATCAGACAAATCAATTAATTTTTTATCTAAAGGAGGGAATTAATTCTTTTTACCTTTGGATGTTGAAATAAACTAAGTATTTCCATTATCTGAAGGTCTCTTGCTAGGTTGGGGTAGGGATGAATTTAATTACTCTATAGTATTAAATCATCCTCTAGCCTCTATTACAACATTAGGAACATATAATAGCACATTAGGGACTATTGAGCCTTGGATACATATGCAAGAAGAAATTATTTATGCCCATAAAATTCTTCCAATATTAATAACCTATAATTCTTAATTGATGAGACATTGTGTTTATATTTTAAAAGTTGATGATAAACAAGAAGTGCAAAATTACAATCTTACTGAAAAAACAGAATGCCAAGTAAGCATTATCATTTTATAAATTAGATCATTAGTGAATTATATTATGAAGAAAATATAAAAGAAGAAAAGGCAAAATAATGTGAAATAATTAGAAGTAATGTTGATGGAGAATTATTAATTTGCTTATTATCAGACCATACAATAAGAATTTTAGAAATGAATTTCTTAGAAGAAAATAAAAGCAAAAATATCTTTAATAGTTTAAAAGTAGTTTAAACCATACAAAAAGTTAGTTAAATATAAGTATTCAACATGATTGATTCAATATGCGCTGAAACTATATCAATTAAAAAAGAGAAACTAAAATACTAAAATAACTAATTTGAATATGTGGCTTATCAAATTATTAATCATAATAATATTCCATCAAATTTATTAATCTTACATACTAATTCTACTTTTACTTTATTAAGTGGTAGTAAAATCCTTTTAAATTATCAAATTAACGAATAAATTAATGATATCTCATAATTTAATTGCGCTCCTGTTATTACCGAGCCCTTATTGCAAACAATCTTACATTCTTTAAAGATTGCTTTAGATACTCAATAATATATTTGTTTATTTAAAGATGTCATTATTAATTGCTTATAAAATCAGAATCTTAAATTGGAAATGTCAAAAAATAATATAGATAATGAATTCATGAGGTTTACTTACTTAATGTTATGCTACCTAAAATTAAGCAGTAATAAAAAAGATTGCGAGGATCAAATTTAAAAAAAGATTAAAAGTAACACTCCATCGGTATAGTAGTCTCCTATGAAAGAAAGTTCAAAAGCATTTTAACAATTATTAAAATCCAATTATCACAAAGAAAATTCTAGTTATGATAGCAATTCTTAATATTGTCATTAGTAATAATAATAGTAATAGAGTTTAAGTTTTATATATCACATGACTATGGAGATGTTTAATGAAATTTAAGACAAGATTTTATACGTTTTACATTTATTGTATTAAGAATTATTGTTATCAGATGAAAAGTAGGCTAATAAATTGTTGGTTTTACTCTATTATTATTCCCTCAATATGGATAATGAAGTTGCTATTAATTATAGTGATTATTACCTCAGAATAAATCCATCGTTATAATCTATGTATTAAAATGATAATTTTATATCTCTTTTGCCAACTATTAGATCTTTAACTTTACTTGGGTAACCATAGTNAATTACTCTATAGTATTAAATCATCCTCTAGCCTCTATTACAACATTAGGAACATATAATAGCACATTAGGGACTATTGAGCCTTGGATACATATGCAAGAAGAAATTATTTATGCCCATAAAATTCTTCCAATATTAATAACCTATAATTCTTAATTGATGAGACATTGTGTTTATATTTTAAAAGTTGATGATAAACAAGAAGTGCAAAATTACAATCTTACTGAAAAAACAGAATGCCAAGTAAGCATTATCATTTTATAAATTAGATCATTAGTGAATTATATTATGAAGAAAATATAAAAGAAGAAAAGGCAAAATAATGTGAAATAATTAGAAGTAATGTTGATGGAGAATTATTAATTTGCTTATTATCAGACCATACAATAAGAATTTTAGAAATGAATTTCTTAGAAGAAAATAAAAGCAAAAATATCTTTAATAGTTTAAAAGTAGTTTAAACCATACAAAAAGTTAGTTAAATATAAGTATTCAACATGATTGATTCAATATGCGCTGAAACTATATCAATTAAAAAAGAGAAACTAAAATACTAAAATAACTAATTTGAATATGTGGCTTATCAAATTATTAATCATAATAATATTCCATCAAATTTATTAATCTTACATACTAATTCTACTTTTACTTTATTAAGTGGTAGTAAAATCCTTTTAAATTATCAAATTAACGAATAAATTAATGATATCTCATAATTTAATTGCGCTCCTGTTATTACCGAGCCCTTATTGCAAACAATCTTACATTCTTTGAAGATTGCTTTAGATACTCAATAATATATTTGTTTATTTAAAGATGTCATTATTAATTGCTTATAAAATCAGAATCTTAAATTGGAAATGTCAAAAAATAATATAGATAATGAATTCATGAGGTTTACTTACTTAATGTTATGCTACCTAAAATTAAGCAGTAATAAAAAAGATTGCGAGGATCAAATTTAAAAAAAGATTAAAAGTAACACTCCATCGGTATAGTAGTCTCCTATGAAAGAAAGTTCAAAAGCATTTTAACAATTATTAAAATCCAATTATCACAAAGAAAATTCTAGTTATGATAGCAATTCTTAATATTGTCATTAGTAATAATAATAGTAATAGAGTTTAAGTTTTATATATCACATGACTATGGAGATGTTTAATGAAATTTAAGACAAGATTTTATACGTTTTACATTTATTGTATTAAGAATTATTGTTATCAGATGAAAAGTAGGCTAATAAATTGTTGGTTTTACTCTATTATTATTCCCTCAATATGGATAATGAAGTTGCTATTAATTATAGTGATTATTACCTCAGAATAAATCCATCGTTATAATCTATGTATTAAAATGATAATTTTATATCTCTTTTGCCAACTATTAGATCTTTAACTTTACTTGGGTAACCATAGTAATAAAACAAATAGAAAATTTTGCCGTAAAATCCAATAGATTTGAATAAATGGTTGAGTAGCTTATTAATGAATAATCCAATATCATTTCCGATATTATTTAAGAAGACTAAATAATTATGCATCATAATGCAATCGATTCTAAAGAAACAATTAATCCATATTTCTTCAATATTATAGTGTGAAGTTTAAGACTTTTAAGTTTTATATTAGGTACAAAAGACATAACTATTTTTCTAAAAAGTCTTAAATCAAAAATTGCAAATCAAATATATTTAACAAAAGAAAAATAAGCTAGAAATGCTTACAAAATTGAGAGGACCTTCTTTGATGTTATATTTGTGTAGTGAAAAACGTTGGAATAGAGATATTATTAACAAACTTCCTTTATAATTTAAAATCGTTATTTTAGAAATAATCACGTTATTAAGAAATAATTTTCCAAATGACTTAATGGGATAAATTACTAAAGATTCATATTTGTTAATAGATAGAATGGATATTTATTTAAATTGCAAATTATATATTCAAAATCCTGTGGAATGTGAATTTAAAAAATATGTTAATTCAATTTTAAGTGGACAAATAAAAAGTTTACAGAATGAAGATGATAATGATATATAATATGATTAACATTTGATGTAACAAGTTAAGAGACAATTCGACTTTACTAGAGATATTCGAATTAAAACAAAAATGACTGAGCATATTCCTGAAGAAAGATTGGATTAAGATGCTCCTTCAGTGTTATTAAAGTTATTGAATCGAAAATTAGCTATGTTTGTTGGGTTAGGATCATTAACATATGGTACAAGTGACCATTTTATTACTGATTAAATAAAATTTCCATCATTAAACTTATCTGGAATCCTTCAATAAAATAGCTTGAAATTAACAATAGATTCAACAAGAGAAGATTATACATAAATGACATAATGGCCAGAATTTCATTTAGGGGTAACCTTGTCGCTATAGTTATCCAAAAAACTTAAAGGCTTAAGTCAAGAATCTCTAAGAACTTGGATATTTTATTAGAAACCATAAAATCCTTCTAATATTCATGGAGGATTTATGCTAGGATTAGGATTATTAGGATATCTAAATTCATTTAACTAGATAGATTTATATTAATTGCTTACTTAAAACCATGAAGCAACAAGTGTGGGAGTATTATTAGGAATAGGAGCATCAAGAATTGGAACTTGTGATGAGCCTACTTAAAAATCTTTAACTGTCCATATTCCGAGTTTGATACCTAGTGTTTACGATTTAGAGCTACCAAGTAATGTTTCTACAAGTGCATTATGTTCACTCGGATTCTTATTTATGGCTAGTGGCAATAGAAATTTTACTGAAGTTGCTTTGGGCTTAATAGGTAGAAAACCTCATAATGATAAAGTGATTGATAGAGAAGGATATTCTCTTGCAGCTGGAATAGCATTAGGATTAATTAATTTAGGAAAAGGAAGTGTGTGGAGAAGAGAACTTTAAATAGTAGATCGATTAATAAGATTTGTTCAAGGAGGAAAAGTACTCCCTCCTCCTTAATCTTCTTTATCTACGAATTTTATGTAAAATGAAAGTGTAAGCAGTTCAATAAGAGAAGGCAACATGGTTAATGTACATGTTACTTGCCCTGCTGCTCTTATGGCATTAAGTTTAATGTTTATGTAAATGAACTAATAGAATATTGTGGATTAATTGAACATTCCTAATTCATTTAGTAGTTTAGAGAGTTGCAACCCAAATCATATCATATTAAAATCTTTAACTAGAAACATTATCATGTGGGATAGTATACCAACAACTTAAGCAGATTTACATTCATAAATTCCAGAATTAATTTCATTTTTGTTTGAGCAACCTTTAAAAAAAATCCATTAAAAGTTCTATTTAGTGTATAATGTAGAAGTGATCGATTTTATGTCTGTAAGTATGATATACACAGGTATGATATCTGGAGCGTTATTAGCCATGGGTATAAAATATGCCGGAACTCATGATTAATAAGTCAAATAACTTATGATTAAATAAATAGAGTTTTTAATCAAATTAAGAATATCTTAAAATGAATTTGCCAATGATCCAGATAATAAGTGCGCTGTTGATTAATACACTTATTATACTAATATTGTTAATGCTTTATAAGGGTTATCTCTTTTGATGGCTGGAAGTTTTGATTAAGAAGTATTGGCAATAGCCAAATCATTAATATAAAAAATGGAAAATTCATAAATTTGGCATTTCGGTTTCCATTAAGGAATAAAAATGGCTATTGGTTTTGTATTTATGGGAAAAGGAGGGTATTCATTCAAAAAATCGAAAAAAGCAATAAGCATGTTATTATTATCTTTGTACCCATATTACCCAACTAACCCTGGGGATAATAAATAATATTTATAAGCCTTAAGATGGAGTTACGTTCTATCAATTAGACCTAAAATATTTAAAATTATTGATGTGAAGACTCATAAAACCGTAAATTTATAGATTAAAAATGAGATATTTTCCGATCCTAATTACTGCCAATCAAACTTTTCATTTACAAATAAGGCAGTATAAACAATTTATGTACAATCAAAAGTCTTAAGCTAAAATAATTAAGATTTATTAAATCCAAATAATACTCTTAATCACATTGATACTTTATTATTGATTGGCGATATGTAGACAATTGACTCTAAGCTAGATGGGCTTTATGAGTATAAGTTTATCAAAAATTTAAAAGAGAAATAATATTTTTTAAAGTTGTTGTAGTATGATTAAAGCAATTTTATTTAAATCTTGGCTTCTTTATTTAATACTAACAAATATGCCCACATACCAATTCTTGGATTATTTTATAAATTGTACCAAAATAAATTAGTCCTATCCTAGGAAGTTATTAATTAATTGACTCCTACCATAAGTGTTACTAACCAAGAACTAAATAAATACATAAATTAAGATTTAAAAAATATGTATTTTAGTCAAGTATCACAGAAAGTCTATAGCTTTTTATCAATATATAACTTGCCTTATCTACATGATATCAAATAAATAGTTAAAGTTGCTAAATAGATTCCCCTCTAGATGTTAGAATTTTATTTATACAAATCTTTTGAAGACACCCAATAATAAAAATTAAAGCAATTAGCTCATTCAATATTATTAAATTAATGATAGTTATATATTAAAATATTTGAAACAATATATTTAAATATATTAAAAATAATCCATTATTGATTAATAATCTCAAAATCAGACATCATACATGAGTTAAAGTATTTAATTAAACTTCTAATTTAAAAATTAATGTATTAATTCATCCGATTGCTTTATTATCAAACACTCTTTTTTTTATTCAATAAAAGCCTTTACTTTTGCTCTCTCTTTATATGTTATTTTAGAATTGTAAAGATATATCTTGTATTCTTTTTATTGAGATTCAAATGCCTTTAAATTTTCATTATTAAATGCAATCAGAACTTGCTTTTTTAATATTTCCAGTAATATAAATTATTTTGCTGTGACTACATAGGCAAATTTGTACTTTGTGATCATGAACACGAAAGTGTCAATTAACATTAAACCAGGAATTAGCTCTAAAATTATTGATCAAAAATTTTACTATCTAAAATATACATTATTTCTGAGTCTTGTAACATATAATTTCTTAATATTTATTCTTCTCCATAAAATATTCTAGGGAGTCTTTTTCTGATTTCATTTGGTTTCTCGTCGAAAAAATTGGCTGTATTCTTAACTCCTTCTGAAGTTTTACTCACCAAATCAAGTGCGCCAGTAACAGGTTTAATGACTAAGCCAGCTAAGCCTTTAGAAACTCCCTTAAAAAAACCTCCAACTCCATCTTTTTCTGCTCCTTGATAAGGTTGAGTTACAAGCCCAGCTATTCCATAACCCACTCCTGATACAAGGCTGATCATTCCTTACCCTAAACCGTGAACAACAGTCTTAGCTTTTTTTGAATTTTGTAATTATCTCTAATATAAATAATCATCATCCATCGATAATTATGATATGCCTGAAGCTACACTTCCAGTTATTTTGCTAACAGAATTGAAGGTCCCTGAAACTACCCCTTTTGTTAAAGATCCAACTCCTTTTACTATACCTAAACCTCCTTCTAATGGACCCTGTACGAATCCATCATATGGCATTTCAAATAAATCTTAAAACCCTTCTTATACATTTTCAATCAATCCGATAGGATTTCCTAACAAATCAATCGAACCTGCTAACTTATATAGATTTGAAAAAATAGCATCCTTATAATTTTGTATCATTTTATTTTAAAGTTACTCCCAAGTTGTAAAACAATTAGTCACTGCATAACCTTTAATTGTAATGCTTACTTCATCGCAATTTATGGCTTAACTAGCAGCTGATTTGAGGTATTATTTGTTATTTCTTTTTTCGACTTTCTGAAATGATAGTTTTAATTTAAGTGGAAAAAATTATAAATTATCGAAAAAGCACAATTATTATTTTAAACTTTTATCCTTTTACCATATCCTCAATTATTTCATCTTTTATTCTTCAATCCATTCTAAAGACTTTAGATAGCTTTCCAGATCACAAAATGTCCCTTCAGTTATTCTAACAGATATAGGCTGAATAGCCAATTTTATAGTTTAAAAATAATTGATGAAATTTATTTAATGGGCCCTTTTTAATAAAACATTCATGAAAGGGATGTTAGGTTTTTCATTTTACTATGTTACTAAAACAGGATATGTACATCTAAAATGCTGATTATTATCAATTTATAAATCTTAAATTTTAATCTAAATGGTTTCTAATATATCAGCTAGTTAAATAAATTCTATTTTTTAAATGGAAATAGCAAGGAGTTCATCCCTCGGATGTGAATTTATTATTGATATATTTAATTTTGGTATGAGAACGCTAAATTAATTCAGAATATTATCATAATTATATTATTTGCTTTATTACTCACTATTGGATATAATTACAATCATTTATCTTTAGTCTAAAGAAAATTATGTATTTAAATAGAATATTTCGTCATCAGCCATCTTATATTGACGTGTTTAATCAGAATTAACTAATTCTACTTTCACAAAATCAGAAAATTATCCATTTTTATATAATTCTAAAGTTATCATTCTAGAATAACCAGGGTTATCTAGAGAATAGTCAACACTTCCACCAATTGGTAGATTTGTTTTGATATACTCATTCAATTCTTGGATATCAGTCTAATAAAAGCAAATGTCGTAGTTCAATTTATTGATCATTTTATATAAAGGCTTTTGAGTGGATTCTTGTACTATTATGTATTTAATTTTATCCTCCTCCATACAGTTAATACTTAAATAATCCATTAATTAACCTTTAGAATTTCTCAAAGGTAAATTGAGGGTTCCTTGCATTTCAGCTGATATAGAGCCACTACTTAGATCTTTAAGTTTGAACTTTAAATATTTTGATCCCTAAATCTTCCTCCAAAAATACGGTAATTTAGCATCTGGCATTATAAAAATTTCTTAATTACAACGATCCTAGAATATAGATAAATTTGTTTTTAGTTTATTGACAATAACAATTCGCGGGTTGAGATTAATTATTTTTTTTTAACTAATATTATGTGCAATAATTGTCTAAACATCTATTATTATATCCATATAACCTAGTTCTTTTGGAATTTAAACAATAAATTATCCATTTATTTTAGTATCAATAGGTTAGGAAATTTTTTCTGGGTTTTATTCTTAATTGCATTACTCAAAAGTAATCAATATATTATCTACCAAATTAACAATTTATAAACACCCGTCTTCTCTTAATTTATCATCAGCCTGATCAGTGATTTAAAATATAGGTTATCCAGGTTAATAAATCAATTACTTTTATTAGTTTTGAGTATAAAAATATATATTTAATCCTAAAGAATTTTAGATAGTCAAACCACCATCCACCCCTATTGTAATTAATCCTTCTCCATCCTATAAAGGAATTAATTACAAATTTAACTCTAAACCAAGAAAATCTCGTATAATGAAATCTTGTGTTTTAAATTAATCGTTTATCTCGATTTGTTGGGATTTTTAAAATCCTGGCAATTTAATTTTAAATTTTAATCCTTTACTTAATTATGAATTTGATATCTTTAAAGCTTGATTTGGCTCTATTCTACAATAATCTTCAATGCAAAAATATATGTCTATAGGTAATAGTAGCAAGTTTTTAATAGCAAATGGACAAACAAATTTGAGAACACAAGGTTAAGTTTTCAGAGCAGGCTGAATAACTCTTAATACTAAGCATGGAGAATTGATAAAAAGATTAAAATTCCCATTTTTCAGAATAAGTTTCTATAAGTCCATTCCTTAAGACCAAACTCCATCATTTGAATATCTTACTAAAATCATAGATTATTCATATCCTAAAGGAATGTACTTTTTGTCATTTTGTAAAACTATTAAAATGAATTATTGTTATGTTATTTTATTTATCAACTTCAGTTCTATATCTGATTAACTATTATTTATGAATAAGATATCTGAACTAATAGTGAGAATTTTTTATTAATCTAAAGTTTCAATTCTAATTAAAATTTAGGTCTATTTATTAAGCATTCCTATCTTGTACTCAATTTGTCTTGATTCATCCTTATTTCTCGAAAAGTTTAAATTGTTTATTTCTTTGAAAATAGCTGAAGGAGATCTTATAAATATTGAAAGTACCCTTTTCTCCATGTTTTCAGCGTATTTTAATGCAAATTATTAATATGCAGCAACGACTACAGTTACAATTTTCTTTTATGTTTTATTAATTATTGTTAGTTCAATTTCATACCCTGTTTAATTATCAACAATATAAGGAGACATCAAAACTACTTTTTCTATAGCCGATTGTGCAATTGAACTATTTCTAGAAATTCTAGATGGAGAACGCTGCTTCCTTTAAATGCTTTATTCAACATTTTTAATGGATTACCTCCATCTCCTATGTAATTCTATCAATTATTTAATATTTTCTTTTGTGAAATTGATATTCATTGGTAATTCACTTGATTCATTAACAACAATTGAAGTGAAATTTTAAGGGTTGCCTTTTTAATCTTTTGAATGATCACTCAATATCACTAAAGGCTCGATGAAAGGTTCCCAAGCACCAATATCTAAATTAAAAAATTACGCTTGAAACACAGTTTGTTAATTCATAATATACTTTCCTCTTTTTGTAACATTCATCTGATAATCTTTAATAATAAATTAAAATAAAGGGACAGGACTTTCAATAAAAGAAACTAAGACTATATCTGCCTAATATATTTAAACATTGACTAAAAGTAATTTCTCCCCTTATTATTATTTTTATTTTATTGGCTTTTATGATTCAATTTACTTTTTTTAAAATAAATATGTTGCAAAAATAGGTGTAAGATCTTCATATGAGACTTAAATATTTAGATTCTCGATTGAAATATCAAGTTATTATTAGCTTTCCTTTTCATTTAATCCTACATAAGCATACATGGGTAAGACTACATGTCTTTTAACTACATCACTGAAATTGTGCTCAAGCAACTCATTTTCTGGACATAAAAATACTTCTAAATTTGAGATTGTTAACTTTTATGAAGTATTATCCTTATTTTTTTCCAAAATATAATTAATCCCTCCCCTAGATACTAAATTATCATTAGAACTTTCATTTGGATATGTAATAATTCCTTTCCAATTTATCATTGTGACTGATTTTTTAAAACTCTAGTTATCTTAAGGAAAATTATTTTCATCTATATCAATAAAATTTAAAATTTCAAACAATGCTCTACTATAAGCAAAACATACATTATTTTCGAAATCAATTATTAATTCCTTCGAATCTTCTGATATTATATAATCTATTTTTAATTCACAACCTGTAAATTTTTATCTTTCTTCCTTTTTGAATATAGTTTCGGTTAAGGCTTCATAAGATTAATAAAAATCTTATCTCGATTATTCTTTAATATTTTCAGCATCTTAACTTCCAACTAGAAACACATTATATTAATTAGTTATAAATTTCTGACAGTACATATTAATAATTTTTTTTTAATTCTAAGTTAGAAATGTCTCAAATTAGGTTTATTTAAATAAAAATTCAATCCCTGAATCTGCTAGTTTAAGTTTAAGGTTCTCAAAATAAATTAGGGCTCTAATTTCTATTGGATTAAATTTTGAGTAAATATGATAATCATGTATAAAATATTAATCTTGCATATCATTCGTTAAGAAATTAAATGATAAAATTGTTATAAATAGCTAAAATTCTTTTTTTGTTAGTTCAATTTCTAATTCAGGCATAAAACCTTTAATTTCATAATTGTTTTTTAAGTTAATGCCAAATAACTCTTTGACTTCATTCTCAAATAGTAATTTTTTCACATTAAGTTGTATAGTATTTTTTTTTGATATAATTTAATTATTGATTGTTAATTCTATATTTTTTATAACTAAATTACCTTAATCTACCCAAATAGGTAGATTTATTTCTTTATTATTACACCTTTCAGGTTCAAGAATATGAGAATTAGAATAAATTACATTATTAATCATAAAAGTTAACTTATCAGCATCCTAATATTATTTTCGTAAATTTATTATTACATCTTTCATTCTATATTCTTATATCATAAATTATGGATTCATAAAGCAATTAAATAATTATTCAATAGTTCCACAGACAAGTTTTGGCTTCTCTTTTCCATCATTTATAATCAATTACGAAGGATTAAAAATAAGTTAAAGAATTTAAATAAAAAAATAATTTACAAATCTGTTCAATTATTAATGCTGATACTCTAAAACAACTTTATTAATTGAACAAATATTAAAAGTAGTGGTTATCTCATTTTAATCTTTAAAATAGTCCTTATTATAATTAGCATATTGATATGTTATTTCACCAAGGTTCACCATTTCAAATGGGTGATATTATTTTAATGTAAAAGGGTAATTAGTAACATCGAAAACTCTTAGTTCTCTTAAGTTACCACTCATAAATTTGGAATTTTATGTAAATTCTACTTCATGTGTTAAATCACATGCCTATAAATACCCTAAAAGCACATGCGATTACCTATGTACTAAGTTGATTTTTGCTTGCTCTATTTTTACTTCTATGTTTTATACAGATTCAATAGAGAAACTAGTAAATAATTATCCAATTTAATTGATATTTTCTTCAACTGCTTTTTTGGAAATTATCTTGCTTATAATTTCAGAAAATTTGTTGTTGTAACTTCTTTGAGATTATTAACTTTGTAATTAATCTAATTTATGCTAGAATATCTAATCACTAGATTCTCCTTATAAAACTAAAGAAGCTTCTTCATCTTCTAAATTAATAGCATCAATTCCAAAAGCTTTTGTGCCTAATTTACTTAATTATTAAATCGATAAGTAAGTATCAGGTTTCCAATTTAAAATAAATTAACCTATATTTAGCTTTGTTTATGAAAAATTGTGCTCAACTTTATTTTCAATGGTAAGAAATGCATCCTTGTATTCTGGATCTTTTCTTATTAAAAATTAAAGATCAGGATTATCAAATTTATATACCTAATCTATAATTTCTAGATCTCCTAAAATTATTGTATTATCAAATCTATTTGTTTGCTTGTGTGATTTATAAAATACATCCTCTAATTTTAGGGAGTAAAGGCATTCATTTTCTTTTATTAGTTTTAAATCAAAGAGTGATAATTTTAATTAAATTTACATTAAGGATTAGTCCACTAAAATATTTTAAACACCTTCATCATCCTTAAATTCATCTAGCATATTGGTCAACTCTTTTGTCAAATTTTCATCTATTTTTAAATACCAAGTTTGATTGTTAGATAAAATCATGCATTCGTAATTTTCAATTAAAGTAGCTCCTTTTAATAAGATTCTATCTTCCCATTTTAGATCATGCTCCTTCTAATAACAATATAAAAATGATCCTGAAACAACTGTGTATCTTTTGGTCCACAAATAATTTATTTTCTTGATTAGTTCACCCTTATATTTAGAATTTTTTAAGATTTATTCCTTCTCTTTTGTTAGTTTTTTTAATTTTTCCTCTTCACTTTTTTCAGGATAAATTAATTTATCTAAAGTTGATATTTCCTTCTGAATTTTTTCTGTTAGAGTAATTGAAACTGGGGGTATGATACCACTTAAGATAAGCCTTGGCTTTTCAGGGTGATTCAAGGCTCCTTTCATTCTTTCTAGAGAAAATTAAAGGGATAAATTTTACAGAATGTGTAGCTCATTAGACTTTAAATTAAGATTTGTTATTGAGAGGGTGTAATAATCATAATACTTTGAATCTTTTTCACTTTATATGCTTAGGTTACCCAAATCAAATATAATATTATTTAAAATTATTCTGGGGCTAGCTATTAAAATGAATAGTTCTAACCTGTATGAACTGTTCATTACTTAATCAAATCTGATTGCTGTTTGATTGCTCACTTTATTTAACTTTTCTTAAGCAGCTATTTGTACAACATTCTCTTACACCCCTTCAATATCAAAAAAATTATTCCATTTTCGTATTATTTCATTATTATATGTACATTCAATTGGTTCTACCTAAATCATTATTGATGCATCTTCTTCAAAGTGTTTTGGATTTTTTTTAAAGTGAATTTTTAGAAATTATTCTATCTTACTCGTATTATTTTGTTTATAGCAAAATGGTTATGTATCATCTTTGATTATTAAATCCAAATTTAAACTTTACAATTTAAAAATGACATCATAACTTTAATCCACACGAGTTTCAGATGAACACTACATTCCGGAAAAAAATATTTACAATCCATCTCCTTTATTCTCAATTTTTAACTTACCTTTATTTAATTGTAAGGAAAATTTATAATCTATTGATTCATCTGGTCTATTCATAACTTTCTTCCTTTCTTCTTAAAATATTTAATCAATTTATTTATTAATTGCCACAATTTCATCTTCATCTAAATAAATATCTTAAGCTTATTTTTTATCAGACTTCCACCATGCAGTCTCTTTTTTTATTTTATCAGTTGTTGCTTTAGTAATCTTGGCTTCCTTTATCAGTTATCTAGCAGAAATCTAAACCCAATCTAGTAATAAATTATATTCCACACACCTTATAATTTGATTAAAATTATCCTTCTCTGTTTAATCTAAATTTGATAAACCATGCTATTAAACTTTTGGAAATAATATAACAAAGCTTTATTAATAATAATTTGTTTCAGAAACTTTGTTGAGTTATTTTTTTCTTTATAGCCATAAAAGTTTAGAATATTTAGTACATTATTCAAAAAAATGCACAAATTGTTGAAACTGCATTTATTAAACTATAAGGTTTATTTCATCTAAATATAATTACATATTCTTTAAAGCTTCTTAAGTATTTTCATCATTTTAAACTACTTTCATTTCAGCATTAATAACGATGATAAAATTGCAGTACTCTTTTGCCTCTAAATTTTATTTTAAAATTCTTTCTTCCATAAATTTATTATAATCCACAATATTATCTTCACTTTTTATATTCCAATAAATGGCTAAGTTTTTCAATTAAAATAGCTTATTCATACTAGCATTTTAACACTCTGTCCTATCTATGTAGCTTCTTTGCCAAATCTGATTTGTTGTGAAAACATCTAGCATCTCTAAAGTGATACCCCAGTTATAAATTGCTTCATATCGGATATGTATATTCACAATTTTCAATTAAATATTATCCATTATTTTTAAGGCCATTTTATCTAAATAACCTTTGTCTTTTTCATCACTTTTTTTTTTCTTGATTCCTCTTTTTAAACATTTTTAACAATAGTTTGTTAATCCTTCAACTTTTTTTATCAATACTATATTATCATCAAAGTCCCAATCCAAAAGTGGAATCAATGTTACAAAAACATTTTCAATTGTGATTTCAACAGGCGCGCTTGTAATTTTCTTCCAAGGTATTTTTATCGTTAATTTCCCAACACTACTTCTCCCTAGTTTTATTGGTAACTCCAACATCTCAATAATATCAGGTTTGAGATTCACATTTTCTATAATCATATTTCCACTCCAAACTCCTAACTTTAAATTATTCTTATCCAAGCCACTTATAAATTTCCCAAAATATTAAATCAATACTTTTTCTAATATTTTTTCAAACATTTATTATGATCTGAAATTAATATTAATATGGAATAAGAATTTATATTATAATAAATATTTCTTTTAAGGTGAAGGCCTTATTTTTAAAGATCGTTGTAGCATAAATCAACTTTAATTTAATGTATATTGAGTTGATAGAAAAACAGAACTATTCCAGAAATTCAACAACAATTGTTCTTCAGATAATTTCGATATGAAGATTATCTAGATATGGGAATTATGGTCCCACTAAGCATGCAATTTAAAAATTATCAAATTACAACGAATTAGATGACATTATATAACATTGAAAAGTAATTCCAATTTGACAGTAATTAAGAATAGCTTCTAGCCTCAATTAATAAAATAATGATTTAAAAATTATACCTCCAACCTAACGAAATTCTACTTTCTAAATTATCAAATAAATTGTTCTATACTGGATAAGTTTAATCTATTAAAAGAATTTTATGTAATGACACTCTTAGATACAGCAAAAAAAAGGTAGAATTGATAGTTAGAGTATATTAATATTGTATAGAATATTAATATAACAGAATTGTTTCTTGTAATCTTCTTTTGAAACCTTTAATTTTTAGATATATAGATTGATATTAATTAGTTTCATTAGTTATTTATTATTTTCTGATTTAATTATCGTCTATACTAATTACAAATAGAATAATAAACATCCTAAGCAGCCATAATTAGATAATTTGTTGAAGGTTTAATGGCCTTCTTACATTATCAAATAAGGTCTTCAACTGACTAACTCCCTTCATAGATGGGAAAGATAGTTTCAGTTAGGCATTTAGGATAAGACTTTAAGCATTTTTTTTCTAATAGTTTTTTTTTATATTCATCCCCGTGAAGGCATTATAACTTTTAATAAGATACGAAAAAATAATCTCCATAATATAAGTTATCAATTATCACTTTGGAAATCGGAAGTTTTATACACTTGATAATAGAAAATTTAGAACTAGCAAAAAAATCCAAATTCATTTAAAGTTAATCTGCTAATCAAAAGGATAAAATAAAACCTTAGAGCAGCTCTTTTTTCATATTTTTTATTGATTTTTGGTCAGCCAATCAAACCTGAAAGTTTTATAAAAAACAGAAAAGCTTCAAACATAGGTAAATTCAAGAAGTATTAGAAGAATAAATTACTTAGTCATTTCTAATTAGACGAAATAAGGTTAGATAAAAAAATCTATTTCTTATGAATGAATTAATCTCCTAAATTGGAAACTTTGAGAATACTTTCTGTAATTATTGATTTAATAGGCTCAATGCACTTAAGGTAAATATGAAAAGTGGCTCACATACAAATGTTTCAGGAAGGCTATTAAATATTAAAGTCTTGATAAAAAAATATTCTACTGCAAGAATAAGGGAATTAATATCCTAGAGATACACTTGTCTCAGTAGTTCAAGATTGAATGGAAAACAACATTGACCTCTCATTGATATTCTAGAGGTAATTAATTTAACCTAATACAAACACTAAAATATTTGGCTAAACAGGCAGCTATTTTAATTTTAAAACAAATTAAAACTATTTTTTTAGATTAGGATATCATTTCAAACTTCATCAAGATTAGTATTATATTTCTTATATTAGAGTGGATAAGCCAAGAAATAACAATATGGTGTTTTAAATACTGAGGTATAATTCATCTTCTCTAGTTGAAGTATGGCAAAACATGAAAATGATTTACAATATTGAGAGGCTTAAACTCTTGTTTGACTCATCTTAATAAAATATTACACTTGAAATAATATTTTTCTCATTGTTGAACGAATCATCGTGATAATCAAAATTCAGCCTAACTTGGTAATATTTTTTGATTAAGAAAATAGTTTGAATGTGTTAATAATTAATATAACAAATAATTAGACAGTTTCAAGAATTGGTTTTAATTGTGAATTACTTTTGTGTTTGATTCTGGCTAGATTATCATGTTCCAATTGATAAAAATAAAAATGAACTTCCATGGTAAATGATTAGTAGTATTTAATGTTATCTTTCTAGCATAAAAGTTTTTTGAATATTTATAAAAGAAAAGGCAAGATGAAAAATAAAACAATAGATCAGTATAAATTATAGTTAATTTGGAAATACAATCGGAGAATCGTATTTTTAAAGACAACAACCATAAATAAGGGTTAATATATTAAAGTTCCCAAGATTATTTTTACTGTCATAATATATTTTCTCTCTATACAAAAACTTAAAAACTACCTACCGCTTAAAATAGGATAGAAAATTACATGATCTTCTTTCAGTTCTAAAACACATAATTAAATAAAAAAGTTTTAAAGCAAAAGGAAGGAATCAAGAAAAAAAAAATAATGTTAGAAAATCAAAAATGGACTAATCCTGAAGAAAATAAAACTGTAGCAATAACTTTAAATCATAAATTTGTTAAAATTAGGAGAGCTATAAAAACTTTCAAGTATCCAAGAGATATAAGTTCTCTTTAAGTCTATTTAAAATGAAGCAATCACACTACCAGAATTTAATTAGTTCCTCTCCTATTATTATTTGGATTGGAATCTAAATATACTTGTTGGAAGAGCTTGATATAATTAGCAATTGCTTCTTTATATTGGAATACTTACCTAATCTACTTACTTTTTCAACTATGAACATGATGAAATTATTGAACAATATATATAAATTCCTTCTCATTTCTCTCTGTGCATCCTCCTTTAAAAAAACACAACCACAAAAAATGATAAAATAGTTGTGTTGCTGTGAGCAATTTTAATTTAAGTTTGTATTTTAAAAATTAAGATAATGAGTTAAGAATGAATTTTCTTAATTTGTATGTAGAGTTTGATAACTGCTAAAGAAGCTAGGAACCTTTAAAGTAGTCCTCCCAAACATGCTGCATAGTTTTTAGTTTCTCTACCCTAGTTCACAAGTAAATTCGTGCAAGTTTCATTGATGGGTCCATTTCAGTAATATAAATGTTGTATTTTGTAGTCACATATTGGTTTATTATGCCATTTTTTCATTATATTAGGTATATCAATTTAACTCATATAACTTCATTTTTCTAACTACTTTACTTTTATACATAAATCATCACTCATATTTTCCTTTATTTTTGGAGTAAACTAGGGCATTTAATCATCTTTTTTGCCAAAGATTATTCGTATTCATAATTAAGAGCTTATGGAAATCAAAATAGCATTCTCAAGTATATTTACTTGAATTAATGTTTGAACTTCACAAAATAAAACCGAACAATACATGAGTTTTGTTTTAAGTTTATATTTGTTTAAATGTAATAAATAATATAATTGAGTTGATATTGGATAATATGGAACTCATATTTGTACAACCTCCTTAGATTTGAATAATGATTTTAGATTTTTGCCTTTAAATCTTATAGATCTTTCAAAATTAAAGCTGCTTAAACTTACCATTCTAAATGCATGATAATAACTTTTCAACTGTTTGTAATCAAATCTCTATCAGACTAATGTTGCTATGCTGATATTGATTTTGGCAATAAAATTGTAATCACATCAGAGGATTAGTGAGACTAAAAAGACCTAATGTTTGCTCTAACTATTGCGATATAAGTTTTAATAATAACTGGGAAATTTAAAAGTTGAATTATGAAGACTGCAAAAAAAACCAATAAAGGTGCCTTATTGTGATATTTGAATCAGGTTGCCCATTTCCAACATTGCTTGAAATAATTTATAATCATTGTATTTATGCTTATTGTACTTGGTAAAAGCAAGTTTTCCCACAAATAAGGATTTTCAAAATTCAGAATCTTCTAATGGTTAGTATTCAATGTTAGTCTATTAGAAAGTGATAGAGTACAATAACGACTATAATCGTTCTTGTTCAGGCTTTTATTCACTCTGATCTTTAGTGCGTTATTTATCCATAGTATCACTTCTAATTTTTATGGTAAACTATTGTTTAACATGTGATGTAATCAATGTTTATTTTCCTAACATCCAGGTTACATGTAATCAAAGCTTCATGCGCAAATTTGGGTTTGTACAGTCGTTTATACTTAATTTTTAACATATACTAGGTTTTTCAAGCCTAAATTGAAGTATAGAATTTACACCTTGTGTAAAATTTTGAAGGCTCTTGATTCATACTTAGGTATATCATTAGCTTTGCTCATGAAATTCTTCTTAATATTATCATCCTTGTGCTAAATATACTGCATTTAATTGCTAACTTTGTCAAATTGCAGCTGTATATAAAGTTTCCAATAATACTTGTAGTTACTAATATATCTATAATAAATCTAACATCAATCTCAATGCTTAATATATAGGTGGCTTTTTAAATCAGTTATAAAAATAGACTCTAATTTTTAAATGCTTACAATTTGTAGGAAATCAATTAGAATTTGTTAATGTTTTTCTCTTGATGTGCTTCATATTCACCTAATGTAGCTCATGAATCACTATCAGTTGCTCTATTTTTGAAGAGTGATTCACACTATATCAACCAAATTTAGGATAGATGATGCTGTCAATTATTTACAAGATATTGGTTACGGGATTGATGTATTCATTACTGGATATGATGTATTTCTCCTTGTTTCCATATTTTATCTTTGTATGGAGTCTCCTAATAATTGCATTAGATGCTCAAATTACCTATAGAGCTGCACTAGTTCTAGCCTATGTTTGAGGCTCCTCCTTATTTTTGTTTTAAAAATTCATTTTTTCTATAAATTTTTCATTAAGGCTTCCCTAGTGTTTTTAGTATAACAGGAGGTCTCAAAGAATTGTATTAACAATTTCTAAATAGTTCTGGCAACATTGCATAGACAGTATTAGTTCTTTTAATTCTTTTGTATATGCTTCTAGCGCTATCGTTAGACATTAGCGTAAAAAGTCACTATCTACTTGTAATAAAATTAGTCTATCTTATAAAGATGGTTTAAAATATACCTAAAATTCTCCTAAGAGAATTAACATTAGAATGAGGGTGTTGTAAAAACGAAACTCCAGTCATTATCTTTATTATCTTTTTACAATGCTCCACCATGTCAGTATAATAAATTTGTAGTACAGTATAAAAGACTCCCTTTGAAAAGGAGATAAATCATCAAACCATTATGTTTAGCATAATGAAGCAAGAATCTCTATTCTAACAGTTATTAATTAAATACTTGAATTAATTTAAGTGCAAATAAAATATAACGAAGGAGTTGGCAAAATTTCTAAAGAGCTTGGTATCGAAAGTCTTATATGCAAATTAATCTAATGGTATGTGTGGTGTGCATATTAAGTCAATGTGATAGAAGTCAAGTTAGCTGTTTGTTTGGAGAATCTTCAAAAAAATATCGTTACTAACTTTGGATGGTAATCCTGCACCTTTTCAAAGGACATTATGTCTACTCTGATATTATTAATGGATGCTGAACATACATGACTCATGCATTTTTTACTCCTCATCTTACTTAATACACAACAATATGAAATAGCCATGCAAATTTCTCCACAACAGTTGTAAATGAAAACGCTGTGTTAAATTAAGTTTTATATTCTTGATGCACAATTGATTCAATGGTGTTTTTTTAGCAAGTTCTACTTTTCCTATTAGAATCACCTAATAAGTATGAATAGTACAAATCTTCCTAAATTTAGATTCAGGTGTAGGTAATTCGTGAATATCGGATATGATTGTACTTTTTGTCATTAATTTCAAGAATCTAATATGGCAGTCCTTACTTGATTTGTCAAACACTTATTAATCATTTGTATTTGAGTTTTACTTGGTTTGAATAAATTCATTTGCTTGATAAATGTTGCATGAATGATGCCTATTATTTAAATACTAATACCCTTAATGAAGTATCCACCTCCAGGAGTTGTTAAGTAATGGCTTCTCTTTGCATGCAATTCATACTTTTTTCAGATCATTTTGGTAAAAGTCTGATCCTTCTGTTCTGTTATATATGCGATTATCAAACTAGCAAATATGCCTTCTTATTAATCGCAGCATCATGTTTAACATCCTGTATTATAACCAATATTTGAATATTAGTTTAACATAATCTAAAAGTGTGATCAAATAGTATATGAATTTATATTGAACTATTTTCGTTCTGCTTAATGTATAACTTTTAGGTCGCTGGATCTTAATTAGCAAATGACAATTATCCTAGTAAACCTCATAATTTTTCATAATTATTGTGCTTCGTGTATACTAGGATATTAGCGTATGGCCAAATGTTGAAATTAATTTAGTGATTCTTGCTTCTTTCGTTAGCTGAGTTAAATAATTCAATCATGCTGTCTGATTTGCTTAATTTATTGCCAACTAATTCTGAGATTGCATATCAGGATATTTCTTGGATCATGGCTCTTATGACTAATTTTATAACTCTGCAAAGTTTGTGCAGTGTCACTTTGTTAAGTTCCTTTTTTAACCAATTCAAATCGTTCGATATATAACTGCCTTGTTCTAAGGGTAACGTACGCTTTAAATGTAAGTTAATCTTTATTCCTATAATGTTTAATCGGCAACCTCATATGCTATCCTGAGTTTATTTTAGGGCAACTCATTTAGACCCAATATAGATTTTCTTTTAAATGATGATTCTAAACATATCATATTATTTAAAATGTCATTATTTAGAAGCTGGCTCTGATGTCAAATACTACAAGTTGGCCTAACTAGTTGCGTAGGTTACTCTACTTANCTAATGGTATGTGTGGTGTGCATATTAAGTCAATGTGATAGAAGTCAAGTTAGCTGTTTGTTTGGAGAATCTTCAAAAAAATATCGTTACTAACTTTGGATGGTAATCCTGCACCTTTTCAAAGGACATTATGTCTACTCTGATATTATTAATGGATGCTGAACATACATGACTCATGCATTTTTTACTCCTCATCTTACTTAATACACAACAATATGAAATAGCCATGCAAATTTCTCCACAACAGTTGTAAATGAAAACGCTGTGTTAAATTAAGTTTTATATTCTTGATGCACAATTGATTCAATGGTGTTTTTTTAGCAAGTTCTACTTTTCCTATTAGAATCACCTAATAAGTATGAATAGTACAAATCTTCCTAAATTTAGATTCAGGTGTAGGTAATTCGTGAATATCGGATATGATTGTACTTTTTGTCATTAATTTCAAGAATCTAATATGGCAGTCCTTACTTGATTTGTCAAACACTTATTAATCATTTGTATTTGAGTTTTACTTGGTTTGAATAAATTCATTTGCTTGATAAATGTTGCATGAATGATGCCTATTATTTAAATACTAATACCCTTAATGAAGTATCCACCTCCAGGAGTTGTTAAGTAATGGCTTCTCTTTGCATGCAATTCATACTTTTTTCAGATCATTTTGGTAAAAGTCTGATCCTTCTGTTCTGTTATATATGCGATTATCAAACTAGCAAATATGCCTTCTTATTAATCGCAGCATCATGTTTAACATCCTGTATTATAACCAATATTTGAATATTAGTTTAACATAATCTAAAAGTGTGATCAAATAGTATATGAATTTATATTGAACTATTTTCGTTCTGCTTAATGTATAACTTTTAGGTCGCTGGATCTTAATTAGCAAATGACAATTATCCTAGTAAACCTCATAATTTTTCATAATTATTGTGCTTCGTGTATACTAGGATATTAGCGTATGGCCAAATGTTGAAATTAATTTAGTGATTCTTGCTTCTTTCGTTAGCTGAGTTAAATAATTCAATCATGCTGTCTGATTTGCTTAATTTATTGCCAACTAATTCTGAGATTGCATATCAGGATATTTCTTGGATCATGGCTCTTATGACTAATTTTATAACTCTGCAAAGTTTGTGCAGTGTCACTTTGTTAAGTTCCTTTTTTAACCAATTCAAATCGTTCGATATATAACTGCCTTGTTCTAAGGGTAACGTACGCTTTAAATGTAAGTTAATCTTTATTCCTATAATGTTTAATCGGCAACCTCATATGCTATCCTGAGTTTATTTTAGGGCAACTCATTTAGACCCAATATAGATTTTCTTTTAAATGATGATTCTAAACATATCATATTATTTAAAATGTCATTATTTAGAAGCTGGCTCTGATGTCAAATACTACAAGTTGGCCTAACTAGTTGCGTAGGTTACTCTACTTATTTTCCTGCAAATCTAATTTGATAATGACTTTTTGGTTACTAACTGTATAATTAGAATCCACTCTAAAAGGGGTATTTCTTTTTACCAGCTATAACCAACCGATGTTGAGATATTTTTTGGATACAAGCAAAGATTATTACTTTATCAATAATATCTCTGCTTAACTGCATGCAATTAAAATAGCTATCCTGGAGAATGCAACCTTATTTTCAATCTCAACTTCAATTAATAATTAAAATACTGAAAATGTTTGCACTTTGATGTTAACTAAAACAGATTATTTAGAAAAGCCTCTTCGATCATCTAAAATAATTGAAAAAGAATTACCAGGAGAATGAAAAAATAGATGAGCAACAATTACAATCAGATTTGGGCAAATATTATAACGGCGCAACTTTTACTGGATGTTATATGTTGTTGAGATATTTAATACACAAGTTGTATTTTTATACACTTATAACAATTGAATCCATGTTTAGTAATCTACTGTTCATTCACTATGTAATAAATAAGCTTGTAAAGAAAACATTTAATCAAAATGTACTATTAAATAAGGTAACTAAGAATAGATGTGGTTACCCATTTATTAGTGTTCTGATTCAAATTCTTCCTTTATGCCATCCTAACCTTTTAATCCATCTTTTAAATTTTTATAGTTTACTAATTTCAAAGGATATTACAATATTGGTTGCTCATATTAGAATATTTTAGATAATTAGAGAACATATCCTCACAATCCTAAATGTCAGTTATAATTAACATTTTGTATTATGCTATTCTTGTAATTGCTAATATTTATCCTTTTTTGTGAAAATTCTGCTCCAGAGAAGTTCTTGCTTCAAATAAATGGAAAGAAGCTAGTTGTTAGTCATCTCCCAGGATTTACTTCCCTCTTATGCACTCTTGCATATTGATTTCAGGCTGAAAGTGATAAATATTTTTCCTTCCGACAGAGATTACATGAATTAAATATCAAGTTCTATCTGTAAGTTTGTCAATTAATGTAGGAAGGTATATTTTGATGAATATTATTTTTCATTAGAATTTGTGTGTTTTTCCTTTAGCAATTTTGCACGACTTATAATACTTATTGGCTAATGCTATAATACAACTTCACTCAAATAATGACTGGCTTCTGATACTATTTTTATTTCTTATTTTGTGATCAAGCAAATCGTATTAAATAGCTTGTGACTTAAAAATGTCATTATGTGTAAGAGGGATTATTGGATGTGTCAAATAGAACATGTTCAGTCTGCACTTTATTCCGTGGTAATAATCGCTAAATTTATTCTGATTTTAGCATGATTTTTATTCAACTAGACCTCTTTATATTATGCATTGCTAAATGTGTGTACTACATCGATGTAATTTCATCATAATGGTTCTAAAATCAAAATAAAGGAAGTTCTAATAAAAGTGCTGAACCATAGACTAATTGTACTCCACTAATTCTTTGTCTTTGTTTGTAACTATACTAAGATGTATGAATTCCAACCTCTCTTTCACATATACTAACCTGCATCAAGAATAAAGCTGATGCAATCATTACTAGATTTCTGCTTAATTGTTTCCCTTCATTTTACCTGCTCTTTTTATGTGCTTATAAATGTGTTGCTGTATTTATCTCTGCCATTAATTGTTAGTCGGTTAAATGAAAATTATATTGTAATTAGATCTTTTTACTGGAGGGTTATTGGTAAGTATGACTAGGTGAGTTTAATTTTACTTACAACTATAGTGATAATTATAACATTTACATCATCTTAAACTAAGAGATAAGCATTGCAACAATTATGTTACATTCCAAATTTATAAATCTAAGTTATATACAATTCAACAACCCCTTACTTCAAAAGCGGAGCAGTATGAAAGGTTTTTATTACCCTTTTATAAAATTAATGAACAATCACGTACTTGTAAGTATCTCCCGTTTTTTGTTAACAATTTTCCAAATATTGTCTAAATTGATATAATCAAGTAAAAATGTCTACCAAAATTATCGAATAGTTTTATTTTCAACTGTTGGTTTCTCCAGATTAGCTTTTTCATAGTGGATGTTATTGCAGTATGCTTAATAATAATCAGTTCAAAGCAATACTCCTTATATTATCTGTTTTTATCCTTATGCTGCATTCAATGCCAAAAGTAATTAAAATGTATTTTTAGCTGAGTGTAGGATCATGTCAATACTATTTGATATTTTTAGATTTGAGTGTTTCTTATAAAATATTATTACACTCATGTTACTCCTCTTTGAATAGCAAGGTCCACACTCATGCCACAGGAGTGTTTAAAAATTTCTATTTCGTCCATCAGTATGGCACATAATTGGCAGATCATTCTCATCAAAGGATAGTCTTGCCAGTCCATGGCTTTTTGATAATCCCGTTAAGAATTTTTGATACCTAGCGCTAATTAAAAGTCTGACTTCTATTGTAAATTCTTTCGATAATCCTTCAATCTATGAGTCGTTCTCAGCCTTCATGAACTTAGTTCCTCTACTACTTTTGCTCTGATCTTGTTCATCTCCAATGTTCTTTCTCAAAAGACACCATCTTGGTTTTAGGTCTCAACAAATTGGTCAACCCCTTCGAGAATATTTTCATCGTTAGAAGAAAATCATCTCTCTTTCCATCAACCATTTATGCCAGGCAAAGGGCAACTTTGATGTAACATACATCTTCGTGTTCCTGCTGGATCTATGACTTTGATAGCCAATTCAAAGAGGCCAAGTCGACTGTTAGTTTCCTCGTTTTTCCTTAGCTTTGTTGAGATATTTTGGAAACCTATTTACAACTTGAAATTTATTAAAATCAAATATATTATAAATAATGTATTTTTGATTTGGTATTTAGTTTTATAACCTTTTTTAAATTTGTTTTTTATAATCTAGTTTACCATAATATAATTAGTACCTGATTTCTCTTATAGTCCATTCTTTTAATCAATAAAGAATTGATTAATATGGTTTTTTAGATTTGCTGTCTTTCTTTTGAAATTTCTACAAAAAATGCCAGCGATAGTTTAAGCAAATTTTTTTGAATATGACTAAAAAGTAATTAATTTGAATTTCTACTTTAGCATTTTTTCCATTTTTGTTTCAAATCAGTTTAAATATTCTAAACGATGATTTCGCATTTTATTTCCTTTTATATGAAAAAAATATGAAATTTTATTAAATTTTGTAAATCGAAAAATCTTAAAATTTTCATTATTCAATTTTCTGATCAGAATATTAAATCGTTTTCTCTCAAATCCAGACTTTTTGTGCTATCATTCTTCTAAATTATTTTTCTCTCTGAATTCAAGTAGTTTTGTGGTATTTTCTTCGCCATTCCTGGTTTAAATTCTAGTTTTTAACAAGAGACTATGATTTTTATCTCTTTCAGGTTATGAATTAAGATTTTGAATGATTATGTAACTAGTATTATAAAAAAAAAAAATTAAGAGATAATAAATCAATGTTATTGTATTTTTTGTCCAATTTATTTCTCTGAAATGCAGCTGACTCTTTATTGAAAAAATGTCCTCAAATCTATGCCAGATTGATTTCTAAATTCTCCTTCAAAATTAGAGCACCCTAAGATTAAAATATAAGCTCTGTTGATATATGAAGAATAGAGATAATTGATGAAACTAAATAATATTGATAATCAATACCACTTTCTTCGATTATGTTGTTTGTCCAAATTTAAGGTAAATATTTTATTAAAATGTCCCTTAAACGGATAGAGTTATCATCAATACCAGATGCCAACGTATTACTATAAGGAGAAAAATTCCCATTATTCAAGTTCAACAAATACACAAATTTGTAACTGGAATCAGCTAATGACTTGCTGTTTGGTGAGAAGCACACACATTATGCATTCCTCTTACTTTTAAAAATAGACTTTATATTTCCAGTTCTTGCAAGAAACTAATATCTGAACATTATTTACTCAACCTCTATTACAATTTAACTTCATCACCTCATTTATTATTAAATTCCTCCACATCTCCTAAGGTTTGCTGAATTCCAATATTTTCAAATGATTTTTTCAAATCCTCCTTTATATAATTCTATGATCTCTTAAAAAAGGTATTTTAGTTATTTTTTTTGAGAAAATATGCATTTTCCTTAAAGAAATTCATGAGAATCGTCAACCTTTCAAAAAAATGCTGACAAATTTTCTTCATCTAATAGTTTTAATGAAGTGAAAACCTCATAGAAATCATTTTTGCTTTATTCCCTATTCTACTTGATCCTTGAGTTTCCCATAAGAAAATTAGGTTAATATTGAACTGTTAATCCATAATTTTTAGATTATAGTATTAATTTGATTTGAATTTTATTGAACATTATAACGGCAAATGTGATTTTTCTCAAAGATTATTGAAAACTAAATGGTCTTTACTTTTTCAAAACAAATCAATTTAATAAGCAATTGTATTATCAAATCTAATTTCTGTCAATAATAATAGTTTAATCAAAGTTGAGAAGCAGTTTTATTTTGAACTTCCATTTTGGAAATTACATTAGCATTTTACAAATAGAATTAAACAAGTAAGATTTATGATAAAAGGTTAGCCTAAAATAAAAGGAAACAGAAAAAAAGTTTAAAATGAGTGATGTAAATAACTTGTAAATAAGTTCGTCTTGCTTTAGATTGGTGTCTAGTTTACTATAGGACTACATTTATCTCTAAATGATAAATGTTCAAAATTTTAACCTTCCAATTGAGGAAGTTCCGAATATTCATGATCTCAATAAAATGCATCAATAGGATTACTCTATGGGAGTAGATTATTCCTAAATTTAGATCTCTGATTCTGTTTGTGGTATTAAAAACATAAACTATTATGTCCTCTGAACACAAAAAAACATAAAGCTTTTATGGCATTCGAGGTAGAAAGGAAGAATAGATGTAGAGGAGAAAAGAGAGAAGTAGAGGAGCAATAATTGGAAGGAGGAGGACAAATTTTTAAGGGAGAGATGTGAAATTTTTTTTAAATATTAAAACAATAAATTATTTTATATTAAGATGTAACATTAGAACTTTTAAGAGAAAATAATACATTTATGGAATATAAATAAATATTAGTTAATTTTAAAAATTTGTTTAATAATAGGGTTATATTCATTGTTATAGAGAAGAACAATTTTGTTATTTTTTAATATTCTCAATTATGTTTATGAAATCCAATCTTGGGTAATTTTGTAATTTAATAAACTATTAATAAACTTTTTGCTGATATTATCGTTGTTGTGTAGATGTTAATTAATTTTGTAAAAAACATCAGTTTGAGGTAAGATTACTTAGTTCTTATCTGAGTGATTAATAACTGTTCATTATCTAGATTCAAAATTATTATAGAAAGCAGCTCCTTTGAAAGTGATTCATACAGAGCTTGTTTAAGATTATTGTATCTCTAAATCTTATTAGGGGTTAGAATACTAATAGATGATTAATATATCTTTTCAGTCCTTTATTCTATCTAATACTTTTAATATCAATTCAAAATAATAATTAACAGGTTACGAAAACGTAACCAAGATTAGAGTAGAGTGATATTAAAAATCATTCAATCCCAATGTTTTAACTTTGTTTCATTTAAGATTATTCTAAGATGAAGGATATTTTTTTAATTTTTGAAATGTATCTTTCTTCTTAAATGTATCATTATTATTATTATACTAAACTTTTAGTGTATTGTGCGTCTATAAATATTAATTTATAAACGTTTGTTCTAACTTATCAATATTAAGCAAATATTTAAATAGTAACAAAAAACACATATTTTTCAAAAAGTTATAATGAAATAATTAAAATTATAATTGTAATGTTTTTAATGAATATTCAAATTCACTTTTGCTTTTGTTTTAAGGCTTCTAAAAAGCAACTACCCTTTGATTTAAACAAAGGTTTTAAATCTTTCCCTTAATGATTAATGAATTGTCCTTATAAGATAAGTGTTCTTGATGCTTCTAACTAAGGATTCTAACATATTTTAAGTATAGTACAATAAGGATTAACTAAATAATAATTAATAATAAATACCATTTTGCAATAGGGAGTTATTTTGAAGAGGTATGCAAAACTAGGAAAGCAAATCTTTAAAGTTACTATCTGATTGAAGTATTTCCTTTGATGTTTTTACATTCCAAAGACGGATAGAGTTATCATCACTGCCAGAAGCTAATGTATTTCCATCAGGGGAGAAATTGACTGAATAAACTCTTGATGGATGGCCATCTAATTTGGCTATTTATTATCCTGTCTTAACATCCCATAAACGGATTGAGTAATCATCACTACCAGTTGCTAATGTAGTACCATCAGGAGAGTAACAAATTGAATTAACTGCATATTCATGACCATCTAATTGGGCTTTTTATTATCCTGTCTTAACATCCCATAAACGGATAGACTTATCTGCACTACCAGATGCTAATGTAGTACCATCAGGAGAGTAACAAATTGAAT